TTTATAATTCATGACAACATGGAGCTTAAACTCATTATCAAGAGTTGACAGATTCCATCTTGATCAATCACTAATTCTACAAGTATTCAATCGTACCCAATATCCTTTCAACTATCGCCCTAGGGTCATAGGTGTCTAGTATTAAAGCACAACAAATAACTTGTAAATTACTATGACGATCTCAGGTCAAAGGAAACTCTTACATCACATTCTTCAAGAGAATATCCTATTGACAGTTTACGGTAATTCTAACCATTAGGAATTATCTAATGAGTCGGTTCAATGATCATATCTCTATATGCATCATCTATCTATGTGATTTAGTTAATGAGATCAACTAATCTTTATCCCATAAAGACAATCACATAAATATTGATCTAACCGGATTACTAATGTCCAAATTAATAATCTTACGATCAAGAACAAATTTAGATTAAATTGTAAGAGACTTTGCTCTCATTATCATGATCTCTATCACGATGACAAATCTCAAAATTTAATCAAGGACCTTATCAAATTAATGATAATTATAAAAGAATATCAAATGCCATATATTTTATATCAAATGATGTTCACAAAAATATGTTCAAATCATCAAATATGATATTGGATCTAGGGCATATCTACTATATCCCTAACAGGTAAAACTCATTTGAACCATATCTGTGTCAAGTATGGGCTGTATATATGACATGGCTTTAGCCCCAAAATTAGATCATGTGCTTTGATTCTGCATGAGCTTCAGTGGCGAAGCTAAGAGATTCTCCAAGGGTGTTCAAATTTTTTTTTTTAATTTTTTTTTCAAATTATGGGTGTTTAATATGTGTTATATACCTCTAAAACGTAATATGTACCTATATACATAGTAAAAAAATTCAGATTATGAATGTTTAATATGTGTTATATACCTCTAAAACGTAATATATACCTATATACATAGTAAAAAATTTCGACCAAGGGTCAAGTGGCTTCGCCCATGATGAGCTTCAAAGCACTTTGAATCATTTTCCTAGATTTTTCGTATGCATGTCTGGTTAGCTTTGATCGATGTAGAAACAGTAATGCTACAGTTTACTAGTTTCCGTTCCTTGAACCTCTAAGACTATAGAAGACCAGGACAACTACTGAAAGAGCAGAAGCCTTTTCAATGTGTCATGTTGATTAATATTAATCTGGAAACATAACAGTTAGTATCTAATGAAACTAGAATCAGTAAACAATGCAAAACATATACAACACATTAATTGAATTTGTTGAATCCTTTGAGTGACAGCAGTAGATATTGTTAAATTTGCTTGGAATTTGAATAACTTTTGAATTAATTGAATTTAACATTGTCGGGAGGAAATTATACCAATTATTTTGCTTTATTCTTCTACCAACGTTTGCAGCTTTGCTAGCTCAGATTTTGGAAAGTAAGTCATTTTGATTTTAGCAAAATGTTGAGAATCAAACCAGGATCTATCGAAATTCTGATATCACCTGAAACCAGTTCTATTGCCTTTCTTACAATAGTTTGATCAATTATTTTCCTTTTTAATCTAAAATGGAGTTTAGTATATGTAGTATTCTTGCCAAGTAATTTGAACCTCACCTAAGTTTGAACCTTAAGGATGAAGTGTTACCTCATTGAAATCAACAACTTCTCAGTCTTACATTTGTCGCAATGACATCATTTCTTTCCTTCATTAAGAAATTGAGGAAGAGACTTTGCATAATTAAAGAAAACATATTCTCAATCAAAAGCTTCCATACTTCAATCACATGGTGTTTGGTTGATGGATCCTTGCTCCCCAAGCTTGGAATTTAGCCAAAGATGTGTAAAAGTTCGTCCAAGTGCAACTTTTATACTCCTCCAAATATTCCAAATTGAAATTCCAAAAACAGCCTTCAGATTTCCACCCAAGCAGTGTTCAGCACTATCGCCCCAAGCCAGCACAGTTGCGCTTAGGAACTTTTACAAGGCAGCGCTATCGTTGACCATTTTAGTGCGACACACTTTTCTTTTTAGTCTGCCTCTAAAACAATGATATATTTTTATATTTAGAAACAGTTTAACTTTAAACTTTTACTAGTATTAGTACTCGCGCGATGTGCGTACACAAATATCAAATTATAATTTGAGTTATTGGAATTACCTTGAAATTTAAAACTTCCAGATAACATGTTTCTTTTTATTTATATATTTATTTTATATCTGTAACAATACAACTCCTTGATTTAGTACTTGTATTTTATTTTGTGGTCAATATTAAATAATACTAAACATATCACGTTTGTGATATGTCTTGTTTGAACATATTATTTAATAAAATTCTTACTACCACTTTATGTTTCACTGCAAATTCGAATAAGTCTTATCCTTCTACA